CGACATGACCTGGTGTCACTCTCATCACCTGGAGTGTAGCCTCCTTATATTTTCCCTGAAAGGGAACAAGTGGTAGACACTGCCCAGGGAGCAGAGGGAGTTGAAGAAAGTCTCAAGGCAGTCGGAGATGCAGATGGAAGAGGCTTCAAGCTGACTCTCCAGCTAGACAGGCAGAACACCCACTCCCTCCTAGTTCCTAGGCTACCTTGAGAAGTTCAGCCACCCTTTCCAATGTGCTGGACCATCTAGAACTGGCCATTCTCTGCCTGGTCTCTCGGGATCCCAAAGCCCAGGAATTTCTGGACCAGAGACCCAGAATTTCTTCTCTTTCCAACAGTGGTTCTGAGAGTTACTTCCTTTTAGAGCTGAAGCTTGTCCTAACAGGAGCCTTTTCTGGAAGACCCTTATATCAATGGAGAGAAAGTTTTAGAGATCAAGGCTCCATTGTGACCACAATAAAAGTTCAGTCTTTGTCCAGGGTCAGAGTTCAGGCTATGACCAGATTCAGGCTCAGGATATTATAAGTCAGGGCTCTGTGTATGGCTCAGGGTCAGGGCTACCTGTTCCTAGGGCCAGAGCTCAGTCTATGACCAAAATAAGAGGTAATGTGTGTCCATGATCAAGACTCAGTCTTTGTCAAGGTCAGGGTTCAATATATAGTAAAGGTTAGGGGTCAGTGCTCAGTTTGTGATTAAGGTCAGGGGTCAGCAAATGTCTCAGAGCATGAATAGGGTCAAGTTCAGTCTGTGATCAAGGTTAGGACTCAGTATGGGCTGGGGTGAGGGGTAAGTCTAAGATCAGGGTTGGGTTTAGTCTATATGATTAGACTTAAGATTTATTGGTGACCTTGATAAAGGTTAAGTATTTGTACAAGTTTAGGCTCCCTCTATAACGTCAGGTTCCAGCAGTGGGTTGGTTAACTCAGCAAATTTGGGTGACTTCCCCCCACCTCCAACTTGCCTGCTTCTCCCATTCCTCAGGGGCTTGGCCTTCAGAAGAGGGAAAGGCAAAATTTTGTGGTCTGGTTTGGCTGCGTGGTTTCCATCCCCTGTCATGTGCCCAGGGTGCCCTCTGGTGGCAGTCTTTAGCAGTGCTGAGTTCCTCAGATTTGGTCCACCTATCTGGCTCACCCTCAAGCCCATCATCCATCCATGTCCATCTGGCCAGCTCTACCTCCCTCCAGAGAAGTAGAAAACTGAGGAAGCAGCCAGGGAAACTCCCCTACACAAGAGGAGATTTTTTTTCATTTCCTGCTGAGTCAGGCATCTTGATCAATCCCTATCCCCTGTTCCCCAGAACTTAGAGTCTCAGTCCTGCAAAGAAATTCACACCTTTTACTTGGTTAATTCATTTGAAAGATATTATAGAGCATCTCCCTTGTTTCAGGAAGGTACTGAAAGTATAGTAATGAACAAGACAGAAGCCCTAAACTCTTGGGGCTCACATTCCTCTTTCTTCTCTCAAATCCCCAACTCCTAGTCTACATCCCTCATCAGAAAGGCAGAAGGTTGAGGAGGATTTAGAACTGGGAAGCTTGGGGTCTCTTCTTCCCCTAGATTCAGAGGTTAGACTAACTACCCTAGGCTCTGGGCTGTCTTCCCGTCTCCTCGGATGCCTCCTCTGAACTCAAGGGTTAGCCACCACTCACATGCCAGAGGCTCCTCAGCCTTCACCCCAGGACCTTCTCCTCTTTCTAGAACACAGGACTATGACTCCATTCCTGCAGGAAAGCCCTCCTGGGCTTACAGACTTTTTGCCCTACTGAGACCAATGAGTTTTCTCTCAAAATCTGATCCACCATATACCCAGGTGCTCAAACCAAATTCCAGCACTTCCTCCCAGATTCTTCTCTTGGATACCCCCAGGATATCCATAAGGGCAACCTGTTCTATGTACCCAGGAAATGGGTGCAGTCTCTGTCTGCTCCACAGCTACCACTCCAGGCCCAGCCCCCAGCACAGCTCTCTGCAGTAACCTCCTAACCCTCCTTGTTTTCCCTCTTGCCGGCGACACTCTGTTTTCCACATAGCAGGCCAAGTGATCTTTACAATAATAAATCAGATCATGTCACTTGCCTGCTTAAAATCCTCCAGTGGCTCCCATCTCACTGAGAATAAAATCCTCACCCGGGCTTACTAAGCTTTCCACCAGCTGGGACATGCCCTTCTCCCCACCTCTCTAATTTCATCTCTCACCCCAGTTTCTATGGCCCTTCTTTATTGATCTGACACATAGAGGCCAAGTTCATGCTTATCTTAGGAGTTTTTGCACTGGTCATTTTTTGAGCTTGAAATATTCTTGCTCTGAACCTTGTTGGTATGGCTATTATTATTAGGAGCTTAAATGCCACCTCTCAGAGAAAACTTCCTAACCTCTTACACCTTCCTATTGTGATTTTCTGCATATAGCACTGTTCCCTAACTAATGTTTGCCACCGCCTTCCTTTTCCTCCTCCTCCTCTTCCTCCTCCTCCTCCTCCTCCTCCTCTTCTTCTTATTCTTCCTCCTCCTCCTGGAGGGAGGGGATTGAGCCTAGGGACATTCTACTACCAAGCTATACCCTTAGCCCTTTTCTTTCTTTCTTTCTTTCTTTCTTTCTTTCTTTCTTTCTTTCTTTCTTTCTTTCTTTCTTTCTTTCTTTCTTTCCTTCCTTCCTTCCTTCCTTCTTTCTAGTTGAGACAGAGTTAATTTTGAACTTTTAATCCTCCTGCCTCAGACTTCCAGGTGGCTGGGATTACAGATGTGTGCCATCACACCCAGATGCGCTTATTTAATTCTTTACTGTAGAATGTGAGCTTCATGAGAGCTCATTCACACTGTATTCTCAGTGCTGGGCACATAGCAGGGCCCGGGAATGATTTGTTGAATTAATTAGTAAAAGTTGGTTTTAAGTGGCTTCCCTCATTTCTTCTTGTGGAGAGGGAAGAGACCCCCCTACCCCACCCAAGAGGCTCCCTCTTCCAGGTCAGCAGTAGTTTCCTCTGGAGGCAAAGCTCTCTGTACCATCCCAGAGCTCCCCCAGCCTTGGGGAGTACTCATCCTTTTCAAAAGACCAGCTTTGTGTCCTCCACTGCAGCCCCTGGACCTCTGAGAACAGGCCCTGGTAACTTGGTGGAAAACCTAGCCCTTATTAAGGGTCCTCTGCATAATTGCTGTAGGAATTGTCAATCAGGGATGTCCCTATACCGTCAGAATCATGTCCTCACCTTCAAAGTGGCCCCCTCAGTGGGCCTGCCTGAGGAGAGGCCTGCAGAGGTGTGGATTCAGTGTATACTCCAGCCCCACTTTGTGAAGGAGAGTGGGGCTGCCCTAGGGCCTCACTGGGCTGGCTGTGCTGTCCTTGAAGGTCCTGTCCCTCAGCTCTCACCTGAGGAAGCCATGTTGGGGGAGGACTCTCTAGTGTGGCAGCCTGGAGAGAGGCAGAGATGCTCTTTGCTGGTACTCACTGGGAAGTGAACCCTATGGCACTGGGTGAAGAGGCTCTCTCCTGGTGTACCTCAGAAGTGGGAGGAGCCCAGATGAGATAAATAAGGACTTTTCAGTTGGTGGCAGTTGAGGGGACTGCAGGGAGCCAATGACTCGCCCCACTCTCTCTGCATTCTGCTCCCATTGTTGATCTGTTCATCTGTGGCCTATGTCCTGGATCCTCATCTGACGCTCACTCTTCCTGCCCAGCAGCCAGCTCCCATGGCAAGATCTGAAAGTCAGGGGCTGGGGATGTGGCTCAAGTGGTAGTGCGCTCGCCTGGCATGCGTGCGGCCCAGGTTCGATCCTCAGCACCACATACAAACAAAGATGTTGTGACTGCCGAAAACTAAAAAAAAAATATTTAAAAAAAAAAAAAAAAGATCTGAAAGTCATCTTGTAGAAGAGTGTAATTCAGGCGTCTGCCAGCAGGTGGGAGAGGGGCTTGGGCTGAGCCTAGCATGGGACAGGGGTAAATCTGGGGAGTCTCCTAAGAAGGTGGTGGGAGAAGGAGGATCCAGACCACCCCATGGCAGCATCAGCAGTGGCCCTACACTAGTCTGTAGCTGCCTAAGGCAGCGGGTGGCCTCAGGCAGCTACAGACCAGTGAACCAGATGAGAGGATGAGCCCAAAGAGGTGGACTCACACATACATGGTGGTGGTGGGGAAGTGCTGAGAATAGGCCATCAACTCCAGGGGCTGGGTGCTTCAAAGATTAGGGCCCCTCCCCCACTAGAACCAATGGAGATGAGCTGCTCAGCACCTACTGACAGACTTGTAACACTCTTAGTGGGAGAGGAAGACAGCAGGACAGGAGGACTGAGATGGTGTCAGAGGAAGGACAGAGCTCTCCTTGTGGGAAGTACCTGGGCTATGGCAGGAGGGCAGCAGAGCCCACCTTGGAAGAGGAAATCGATGAAGCCAAAGGCAGGGAGTAATGGTCTCCAAGAGGTGGGGGGCCAGTGTGTACCATCATCACTGCTTGCCTGGATCCCTGCAGGTGGGAAGGGATCACAGGATTTTCCCCCCAGTTCCCTTGTTCTACTTACAAGGCAGTCCCCATTCCTCTACCAGGTGCCCTTGCCTGCCAGGACAGACCACAGGCTGAGCCCAATCTTTGCAAGCCCAGCCAGCCCCAGAAAAAGGTCCAGACTTTACATAGGTGGCTCTCTCCCCTCACCATGCATGCTGGGTGGTCATGCCCTCAACCACCTACCCCTCCTATACTCCCGCACATGTGTGATATTGACAGTTACCCAAATACTGCACTCCGAATCTCCTACAGGAGCCAGGCAATTGCACACACAGCGGCCCTCCTACATTCATCCAGCCGCAGGTGTGACACACCCGTTCCCACAAGACATTCACAGACACACACACTCCTTTCCCCACGGACCCCTTTCTAGATCTCCAAGAAGAGCTAGTGGGTGGTTTGGCCACTGGCTGGCAGGGCCCAGAACCCAAGGGCTCAGTCAGAGGCCCCACAACAAGAGGCCCATAGCAAGCTCCCTCCAGCTTGCTTGCACGCCAGAGAGGACTGACTCCAAAGGTGCTTTATTGAGGAGTGGGAACATAGATGTGGCACAGTGAAGATGGCAGCATTGTTGTCAGTGAAGATCACTGGGACCTTCAGGGTTGGAGAATCCCCCTCAGCACTCATCCTTGGCAGGACTCACACTGTGGGGGTCAGGGAGTGCTCTGCTCGGCTCTACCCATTCATGGCTGAAGTCAGAATCTCTCCTCCCAAATGAATCCCAAAGATCAAGTTGGGGTAGAGACAAGGAGGTAGGGGAGGGGCAGAGGAGGGCCTAGAGGACTTTCACAGTGTGAAGGGATGGAGCAAGTTAGGGCTGAGTTCCTCCCTTCTTGGCGACAGGGGCCTTGCTGGTAGCCAGAGCCGCTTGATGCTTCTTTTTCCACAGTGCCCAATACTGTGGGTGGGGTCAGCTTCCAAGGTCCAGGAGCCCAGCTTCATCAAGTCTTGAGAGTGAGGTGAGATAGGGCACAGAGACCCCGTCTAAGGGGCCAAGGCTGCTCATTTCTTTAGGATGTGAGCCTTGACACCTTCACCACATTCTTCCCTCCAGAAGTTCAGAAATGAGACAGGTGAGGCCACCTGTGCCCAGGACTGGTTCCTTATGGAGAAAAAAATTAAAGCCCCCCCTCTTCTAGTTTTTGTTTAAGTGACACAGGATGGAGGGAACCCAGACAGGGGAATGGACAGAGGTCTTAGTCCGCTAGGAGGCGGACAGCTCCCGGGGCAGGTTGAGCTGCGACCCTTCGGGGCGCGGCACACAAACTGCTGTGGGCGCGGGCGCGTCCAGGCTGAAGAGGCCGGGGCCCGGGACCGGGCTGGAGCGGCCAGAGGACGCGGCCGAGGCAGCGGGGCTGAGCTGTACGGCCGTGGTGTCCTGCGCCGTGCGCTCGCTGCTTTCCATCTCCAGCGCCACCGGCCCCGCGCGCCCGCCATTCTGGCCCCGGGCCGCCGCTTCCAAGGAGCGCGTACGGAGCGCAGGGCCCCGGCGGCTACACACGCAGCAGGCTGCGAAAAAACCGAGCGCCAGCACTAGCAGCGCCGGCCCTACGATCAGTGGCACATTGTGGCCTGACAGGAAGGAGGCGAACGCACCCACTAGCGTCACGTTCACACCCGCCAGCAGCACGCACAGACCGCAGGCGCAGCACAGCGCGGGTGACGGTAGGCCTGGCAACCGGCCCTGGGCACGGCCGGCGGGCGCGGGAGCCACAGGTCCCTTGCTCTTCTTTTTCTTTGTGGGCGGCATCGGCCTGAGCACGCCTGGCACGCATCAAGATCCCTCCAGCCAGGGGCGAGCTCACGATGATCCTGTGAGCACACAGAGAGGGCGAGTAAGTGGAGCATCTCAGCTCAGTTCCCTGGCTACATTATGTGCCTGGAAGTGAAGAGGTCATCTTGGGCAGACCCCTGCCTCTGCTTTTGCCTCTGGGAAACAACCCACCTCATATGTATAGTCAGCCTGTTTTCCCCACCTAACTCCTGGAGTCCCTCACCGCTAATTTTGCCATTCGCCCTCCCTCCACACAGCGCCTCCAAGAAGCCTTCCTGGGAGAATTAAATTAAGAGAGTGAATCTCTGTGAAACCCTCAGCAGGGTACTTATTAAATGATCATTATCATCACTGTCAATAGTTATAGTCAGAGGACACAGCTCTTGGGTTTTTGACAACTCCACCTCCAACTCTGCCTGGAGATCATTTGATCTAGCCCCTCCTTACTCAGATGAAGGAAATGAAGTTTAGCCCTGCACCGTGGAGCAGGCCTGTAATCCCAGCAACTCTGGAGCAGGAGGATTCAAGTTCCAGGTCGGCCTAGCATATTAGTGATTCTGGAGGCAATTTAAAAAATAAAAAGGGATGGGAATGTAACTCATCCCCAAGATCTTGCCTCCCTCAAGTCCCTGTTGTCTTTGTAGCTCTCCTGTGCCTTTAAATAAATTTCTTAAATACTAAATCCAGCTTTTTTAGTTATTCTCAGTGGTGAGTTGGTCTGATATGAGCTAGTCTACCTTAACCAGAAACAGAATTCTAGATGAGAATCTGAAAAAAAGTAAAGTGCTTCTGGGTTCAAGTTCAATAAACAAAACAAAACAAAACACAACACAAAACCAAACAAAGATGAAGGAGGAGGAGGAGGAGGAGGAGAAAGGAAGGAAGGAAACAATCAGTTAATGCTCAGGAGAGGTCTAGTACTTTATTCAAGATCCAGGACCTATGAATGATATGTGGATGCTAATTCACAAGGGGAGGGGGAGAATAGTTATATTTCTGGACTAAACAGAGGGTAATGAAGGAGGGAAAGCGGGTATGGGGGTAGGAATGATAGGAGTAGAATTAATTGGACATTATTACCCTAGGTGCATATATGATTACATGACCTGTGTAACTCTACATCATGCACAACTAGACAAATAAGTTATACTCCATTTATGTATGTCAAAAAAAGTGTCAGTGAAGGGTCCTGGTTAGGTAGGGGAGTAATCAGATGGCAGCACAAATGGGAGCAGAGCATGGAGAGTGAGGAACAGGGAGGGTGACCAGGACAAGAGGCCCCATATTCTGTGTTCAGGATTATCACATGTGACATGGGGTTAATAATAGAATCAGGGGCTGGGGTGATGGCTCAGAGGTAGAGTGCTTGTCTGGCACGTGTGAGGCCTTGGGTTCAATTCTCAACACCACATACAAATAAATAAATTAAATCAATGACTAAAAAATATAATAATAATAATAATAATAGAATTAGCCTTATAGGATATAGTAATAATTAAATGCTTTAAACTAAATAAAGTTAAATAAAGTTCTTAGAACAGTGCTGATTAAACGTTAACCATGCCCTTGAGGGAGAGTTATTACATCTCAGATCTGAGAAGCTGGTCATGTCATGTATGGAAACAGAAGAGTTGGTTGGCCTTCCAATTGGAGGTGTCTTCCTGACTGTCTCCAAAGCCGCACACTTTGGGATTGGAAAAAGCTTGATGACTAGGTGAACAAAAATGAGAGATAGTACCAGGAAGGGGCAGCTCAAGCAGGTCAGAGGGCTTGGAGGATCACCTCCAGGCCTCCAGATCTGATGACTCCAGGGCTCCCCGTCCTGGCACTATGCTGACAGGTGGCAGTTCTACTGGGACTCACTCCAACCAAGAATCATCTTGCTGCCACACCAAGCTGGCAGGGAGTCAGAAATCCCAAAATCCTGGCAAAGAAAGCTCATGTAGACCCTTCAGGTCAGTCATGGGTAAACCATAGATTCCTTGGGAAGTGTCAGACACGCACGAGCCATCTCTTTTAACCGGCTGCTGCTGGTTCTGCCAGGCAGCAATAGCAACAACTAAAGGGATACAGCAGTTTACAGTTTGCAAAGAACTTTTATATCCGTGATATCACTTAATCCCTACAACTGCATGACACTTACTAATAACCACATTTACAACTGAGGAAATTGAGGCTCAGAGAGGATTGGGCTCTGGTAGTTGGAGTAAAAGGAAGAAAAGACAACCTAAAGCCAGAGTAAGAGAGCAGATATCTGGGCCACACTATACACAATATTGCTTCATTTTAAAGACAAAGATCTGGGCTGGGGATGTGGCTCAAGCGGTAGCACGCTCACCTGGCATGTGTGCGGCCTGGGTTTGATCCTCAGCACCACTTATAAACAAAGATGTTGTGTCTGCTGAAAAACAAAACAAAACAAAAAAAAATTCTCTCTCTCTCTCAAAAATATATCTTTAAAAAAAAAAAGACAAAGATCTGATGCTCAGAAGAAGCTGTGAGATTTCCAGATTTTCCTTTCAAAACACTCACTCCCTTTAATTATCAATATCTGACATTATCTGGCAAAGGTGGGATTTTTATTTTTATTTTTTTAATTTTTATTTTATTTATTTTTGGTACCAAGGTTTGAACTCAGGGACACTTAACCACTGAATCACATCTCCAGCCATATTTTATATTATTAGATACAGGGTCTCCCTGAGTTGCTTAAAAACCCACGGTCCTCCTGCCTCAGCGCCCTCTGTGCGGTTGTGCCCGGCTAACAGTGAGATATTTCTGTTGGGAAGGCTCCCTCTGAGGCTGAGTGTGTCTCTGGTAGAGGGGGCAGAGTCTGGACCTTCATCACACTTCATGAAAGACTAGAAAGCTGGTTGGTGAGGTGGCTGGAAGACCCAAATACCTCATTTTTTTCCCTTTTAGGGAATTTTTTTGTCTTTGGGTTTCAGCAGTTTTACTATGATGTGCTAAACTCTGTGTGTGTGTGTGTGTGTGTGTGTGTGTGTGTGTGTGTGTAATTTATCCTTCGTGGTTTCCTGGTACTTCTACAACATGTGGGTCAACATCTACCCCCAGTATGAGAAAATTTCAGACATTCTTTTTCCCAATTTTCTCTCGCCTCTCCTTTTGGGGTCCTGTTGCACATATGTTCAACCATCCGGTTTTGTTCCACATGCCTCTCACACTCTATTCTGTATTTTTCCAGGCTTCCCCCTCCCTTCTGTTTCTGTCTGGATATTTCTCTTCTGATTTATCAACCAGTTCTCTAACCTTTTCTTCCCAAGTGTCTTTCCCTACTGTTAAATTCATCTCTTGAGTTCTTTTTTCCCCCTTTTCTGTGATATGGAGGATTGAGTTACACTTTATCACTGAGTTACATCCCCAACCGTTTTATTTTTTATTTTAAGACAGGACTCCACTAAGTTGCAGAGTCTGGCCTAGAACTTGTGATCCTCCTGCCTCAGCCTTCTAAATGGCTGAGATTACAAGTGTGTGTCACCACTCCTGGCCATCTATTGAGTACTTAATTTCAGTTATTACTTCTTTTCTTCCCAAGATCTTGCCTCCCTGAAGTCCCTATTGTGAGACGCTGTCTCAAAAAAAAAAAAAAAAAAAAAAAAGAGCTGGCGATGTAACTCTTCCCCAAGATCTTGCTTCCCTCAAGTCCCTGTTGCCTTTGTAGCTCTCCTGTGCCTTTAAATAAATTTCTTAAATACTAAATCCAGCTTTTTTAGTTATTCTCAGTGGTGAGTTGGTCTGATACAAGCTAGTCTACCTTAACCAGAAACAGAACTCTAAATGATAATCTGAAATTTGCACTTTCAGATTGATAATGAACAGTTGTGCTGTACAGAACACTTTACAATAATATCTAATTTAATTTTTGTAACATAAGATTATTACCATTAGATTCCCCATTTTATAGATGAGGAAATCAAGGCACAGAAATTATTATGTAAACTCATCCCAAACCACTCAGCGGCAGTGCTGGTGGTGCCAGGATTCAAAACCTGGTGTCCTGACTCCAAAGCCTGAGCTCTCAGCCAAGCAAACTGCTAAATTTGCTAAATATCTGTTGAATGACTGAAGTACCAGGCATGTCACAGGCTCTCCTCTAGGCCCTGTAGTTAAACTCCTGAAATTGGCTCATATATCTCTCAAATGTTAGCAGCAGAGGAGGAAATTGAGGCTGTGTTTTCCCTGTTGCAAGGAAGGTAAACTCTCTCTCTCTCTTTTTAAATACCTTTAACTAACTAACTAGCTAATTAATTAATTAATTAATTTTTATGTGGTGCCGAGGATTGAACCCAGTGCTTCACATGTGCTAAACAAGCACTCTACCACTGAGCCACACCCCCAGCCCAGGAAGGTAAACTGTCCTGGCCCCTTCCTTGGGTTGGCATACTTGGTTCAAAAGAAAGCAAATTCCTGCCAGGGGCTGAGCTTCTAATGCTAACTGCCAATGGTGATTCTTATCTGCTTGTAGGTGGCAGAGCTAACTCTATAAACAGACCTGTTCAGAAACAACTCCTGGAATTTCCATCTCAGACCCAGAAAGAGCTAAGGACATGTGGGTGCTGGGCTTACGCCTGCAGTTGCCTCCACTCTGGCTAACTAAGATCTGGACATGGGCAGGGGTGAGGCATTGAGGTCGTTCAGCAGTTGCAATTTAATTTCCACCTCCATTTCCTCTGGGGGACTGTGGCCCTCTGGGTGCCCCGCTGTGGGGTTCTGTTTTGTTGTGGGAGCTCTGGCTGGCACTGTTGTGAGATGTCCTTGGTGCTGTTCACTGAATCCTTCTGGCTTTCCTTCTTTCTGAGCACATGTGAAGATGGCATCTCCTGGCCAATCTGTGATTCTGGCCAATGAACTGTGACTTATGTCACTTCCAGTTGGAGTCCTGGATTATGAAGCAGGACCTTCCAAATTGATGCTTTTGCTATCTCCAATCCTCCAAGCCCTTTCTATTTCAAGTCCATCCCTGAAACCTAGCACCTGATGAGCAGTCACTGCTCTGAATCTTGAGTTGCTAGGATTGAGAGACCTTCCCTTTAGTGAGTTCTCTAAGCTGCTGAGCCTGTGAAGGTAACCTAGACCAAGCTTTCCATCTACAGATGGAGAAACTGAGGCTTGGAGTGGGGAAGGTCATGGAATCAGTACAAAGTCAAAACAGACTACCCCTTTTCCCACCCAGTCGGACTCTGAACGTTGACATTAGCACCCATGACCCTGGCCATTAGCTCTCCTTTTTGTCTTGTGTCTCTCTGGGAAGGCCCTGTGATCTCTATTTGGGAGTTCAATCTAGGAGCTGTTCGCAGCAGGGGCAGGTACTTGGACCTCAGATGACAAACATTTTGGATTTTGATCTGGTTGAACAACTGGAAGGGTTGGAGTCCCTCTCTAGGTCTAGCTATCTGAACGTAAAGGAAGAGCTGTAAGCAGGTTATTGTCCCCAGTGGAAGTCTGTCATCAATCTGCTGCCCTACCCTCAGCTACCTGAGGTTTGTGAAGGCGGAAATGGGGACCTGTTCAGAAATTACTATCAAAATATCAAAGGATCTCATAAAAATGCTACACTGATCTGTAATATGGCTGTCCCTGTTCATTGTTCTAAATTCTTTGCTTTGAGCCAGGACTAAGTTATTTCCTTGAGAAGTCACTGCTGCTCAGAAGGGGTCCTGATTATGGGGGAGGGGCACACACATTGAACAGTGACTCTATGCTAAGCACCTTCCCTATGTCAACTCCTTTAATCTTCACCACAAACCCTGTGAGCTGTTACAAGACTGCCCCATCACAGTGAGGCTCAAAGAGGTGAAGGGATGTTTCCTGGTTCACTGGTTGTAATGAGGAAAGTTCAGGTTTAAACGACTCCGTCAGATTGGAAAGTCTGTTTTTCCTATATCGGAACTGCTGCTTATGAGAAGGTATAGAGATGTTTGCCTCCTAAAAGAATGCAATCATTGATTATTACTCTCCAGGTATCATCAACAAGCTTGGGTGGTAGTTCTCAGTAGGTGGAGGCCAGAGCTGCTGGGGAGGGGGATCTCTGCCCGAAGCCCCTTCAGGTAAGCCTGCCGCAGGTTCCCAGTCCGCAGCTCTGGGATATTAGTATTGCACAAGAGCAGCTGCCTGACCAGGGGTACCTTCCAGGATTCTTTGGCCCCTGATTCCTGTTTCAGTGGCTGAAGAGTCTCTGGGTGAGGGGCTTGGGGCTTCAGTTAAAACAGCCACTGGCCTAGGGCCCTCTGTCCTCCAAGTGAGACCCATTTGGCCAGTCAGAGAGCTTTACTCCTGAGAATTCCTGTTTCCCCTTAGTTCCTGAATTCTGGGCCAGTCCTCTCCACTGGTGCCCCCACCCCATGCTCTTTCTATCCTCAACTCCACCTCCATCCTCAGGGAACCTCCCACATCACCATTACTCATTACTGGATGGGGCTTATTCACTATTATTTATTATTTATTTATTTATCACTTATTCAAGCTCTCAGATTCTGCCAACTGAATTCTGTCTCTCCAGAGCCTGAAGAGCCACTATCATCCCACCCCAGCCAATCCACAGGTCTTTCCCCACTCCAGGAGCATTTGAGCATGCACACATGCGCACGTGCACACAAGCACACATGCACATAAGCACACAGATGATTCCCCATGCTAGAAACAAGGTCTGAGGATGAAGTCTGAAGGTGTGGCTTTCCAGTCCCTGTCACTGACTTCTGGGCCCCATCATTCTCATCCGTGAGTGCAAGTGCACACATGCATACACATATCCCACATGCACACTCAGGGTTCAGACATATCCCAAAATACAAGCACAGCTGCATTACACACAGGGTTGCAGATACACACTCCCGGTTGCCTGCCTTTCTGGTGGAGATGGGTTGCTGCCTAACAGATGTATCTTGGGAGACTTTTTGCCTTAACAGCAGCAGCCCCTGAACATTAACAACAGGGTGTAGGGGTACGAGTTCTGTTCAGCTGCTCTGATGGCACCCTCCTATTTACAGTGGGTCTCCAGGCCTGTAGCTGGCAAGCATTCACTGCACTCCTCACTGTGCCTCTCACTGGGCTGTTTCATTAGTGCTATCAGCAAAGTAGGAGTTTGCTCTAGATATCTCTGCAGGCTCTGAAGGTTCTGACTTTTAGCACAGCTGAGGGACCTAGGGATACAGGACTCTGAAGCTCTCTCTGCAGCAACCAAAGACTTGTGTGTTCATTAGACCAGCCTCCCCACCCATTCAGGCAAAGGTAATCCTCCTGCTCTGGGGGCTTCTGACCCTCTTTCCAATCCTTCGTGATAATGAGACTTGCCACCTGCTGGGGCCTCCCAGCCTGGAATCTCAGCCTTAGTCTGGGCCTCTGCCTCTGCCCTCGGCAACTCAGTTGCCCAAGCCAGCAGGAGAGGCCAGGAGAGAGGATTTCAGACTGCTGGAGTGGAACTGCTCTTCCTGCCTGCTTCCTTTGGGACAACTCTGTTTCCCTTCCAGTTAAGTCCTACCCCAAGGACTGCAGCATCTTGTACATAGCCATCTGACTCTGCCCTGACTCTTTATATCCAATGCCCAGTTCCTCCATTGCACCCAGGCCATCAGCCCCCTTTATCCTTGCCCCAGGACCTTATCACCCTGTTGTGACCCTGAACCAATCCACCTCTGAGAAACCTGGAAATCTTACTCTTGACTTTACCCCAACTGCTATGACTATACAAACAAATGGACAGCACCTACTTTGTGCTCAACACCATTCTAAGCTGCTATGGCCTGAGTATGGTTTGTTTCCTGGGAAACACATGTGGACATTTGTGTTGATGTTGAGAGGTAAGGCCTCCAAGAGGCAATTAGATCATTAAGAGGGGTTAATGCTTTTCTTATGGGATTGGGTTAATACTTTTTTTTTCCCCCGCTTGGGTTAATTCTTGAGGTGGGCAAGTTCTCTCTTTTGCTGGAGTGGGCTAGTCACTGTGGAAATGGGGTGATAAAGTTAGTTTGCTCTTTTACTTTTGTCTCTTTTTACATGTACCTGCTTGCCCTTCTGCTTTCTGCCATGAGGTGAAGCAGCACACAACCATCACCAGTAACTGGGCAAATGCCAGCATCTTCCTCTTTAGATCCCCAGCTTCCAGAATGGCGAGTTAAATAAACTTCTTTCCTTTAGAAATCACATAGTCTCGCCAGGCACAGTGGCACACATCTGTAATCCCAGCAACTAGGAGGTTGAGAGAGAGAATTGCAAGTTCAAAGCCAGCCTCAGCAACTTAGTGGGGCTCTATGCAAATTAGCAAGAAAGACTCTGCCTCAAAATAAAAAGTAAGGGGTTGGGGATTGTGGCTCACGGGTAGAGCGCTCGCTGGCACATGTGAGGCCCTGGGTTTGATCCTCAGCACCACATAAAAATAAATAAATAAAGGTATTGTGTCCAACTACAACTAAAAAATAAAGTAAAAAGTAAAAAGGACTGGAGATATAGCTTGGTTAAATGTCCCTGGGGTCAATCACAGTACCAAAAAGAAAAAAAAAAAAAGAAAAGAAAAGAAAGAAAAAAGAAATTTACCCAGTCTCAGGTATGCTGTTATAGCAACAGAAAATGGACAAACACATAAGACTTTTATATAGATTAACTCACATAAATGTATGACAATCCTAAGCAGTAGGTATTATTATTATTATTATTATTATTTGGTACTGGGGATTGAACCCAGGGGCACTCAACAACTGAGCCACATACCCAGCCCTTTTTAAATTTTTTATTTAGAGTCAGGGTCTTGTTGGGTTGCTTAGAGCCTCACTAAGTTGCTGAGGCTGGCTTTGAACTCACGATCCTCCTGCCTGCCTCAGCCTCTTGAGCCACTGGGATTATAAGCATGTGTCACTACACCGAGGAGGTAGGCTTATGGCCATTCATATTTAACATATAGGGAAACAGAAACTCAGAGAGGTTAAACTACTCACTGAAGTTCACAGATATGGTAGTAATACATGGTAAAGCCAGGATTCAAACCTAGGTCATGTGTCTCCTAAATCCATGCTCTTCACCAGGACTGTGTACTGCCTCTTGCTATAACTGTTCTCTGATCACACACAATCCCTGGAACCCATTTTCTCCATTTTCTCCATGATATTCTTTTTTTTTTTTTTTTAGAATTTTAATATTTATTTATTTATTTTTTTAGTTATCGGCAGACACAACATCTTTGTTTGTATATGGTGCTGAGGATCGAACCCGAGCCGCACTCATGCGAGGCGAGCGCGCTACCACTTGAGCCACATCCTTAGCCCTCTCCATGATATTCTTGCCTGTTTCTTTCTGTATCCACTTGAGATCCCACACTGACTGATTTCAGTTATTCTCTTGCAACTGAACATGTCACTTTGTCCTTTTGTCAAAGTTGCTTAGAAAATTCTCAGCCTTGCCTTGGTCCAGCTTCCTGTCTCTCCAAGTCTGTGCTCAAACTGCCAGGCCTGGTCAGACAGAAAAAAACCACAGGTAGACAGCACAGGCTCTCTGTAGATCCCTGCTCTGACTTCATTTGGGCCCTCAAGGCTTTTAGGAAACCTTCCCTTCCTAGTCTGAGCTCACCAACTTCTTCCTCACTGGACCACACCTCCTCCTGGAAACACCTCAACCTGTCCTATCTTAAACAAAACCTTTCTTCAACTCCAGGTCATTATAGTCTCCAGCTAACATAAATTCATTTTTATTTTGCAGTACTGGGGATTTAGCCCAGGGGTGCTCTACTACTGGCCTACATTCCCAGTCCTTTTTTATTTTGAGACAGAGTTTTGCTAAGTTGCTGAGAATGGAACGTGTGATCCTCTTGCCTCAGCCTCCCAGGTAACTGGAATTACAGTCATGCACCACAGTGCCTGCCTGGCCTCTCTCCCCCTCTTGAAAGCACTGTCTATGCTCCATACTTCACTTCCTTCTCAAGCATCATACAGTCCAACTTGGTTTTTGCTCCATTACTCTTGGACTCCATGCTCACCAAGGTTACCAGCAGACTGCTGAGTTCAATGAACACCATTTGAATAGGCTGCTGTCCCTAGCTTCAGTCTGCTGAGTCTTCCTTCCTGGGAACACTCTGTCTCTGGGATACGGGTTCCTTCTCCCACAAAGCCTACAGCTTCAGCCAGTGCTGGCCCCTCCTTCTCCCATAGGCTTCTCTCCACACATTTCCAACTCATCTCTGAATCCTGCAGATTCTCCCACCAAGTATCCCTGAGTCCGTCCCCTCCTCTCTGGACTCACTGCTATCCCTGCTTACCCACTATCTCCATCTCTTCCAAACAATAAGACCCTCCTGGGCCTACACTGCAGTTGCTCCAACCATGACTCTTTTTGGTGACTTTTTTTTTTTTTTTTTTTGGTACTGAGGATCAAATCTAAGGGCACTCTACCTCTGAGCTACATCCCCAGACCTTTTTATTTTATTTTTGAGACAGGGTCTCACTAAGTTTCCCAGGCTGGCCTGGAACTTGCCATCATCCTGCCTCAACTTCCCAAGTAACTGGGATTACAGTCATGTGCCACCACACTCAGCTTCAAGCGGCTCTTTGATTCTTCTCTGGTGGAGCTGAGCTCACCAGGGTTGGTGAGCTGTACTGACCAGGTATGGTGAGCTTGACTCAGCAAGTATGGTAGACCCCCAGACCCCTGTGCCTAAGCCCTGGGCTTCATCTTCAGCTGGCCCACCCCAGTTCTGCTTTCCAGTGTAGCTGGGATGCTCCTTCTTTCCTTCCTTCCTTCCTTTAGCTTCCTAACTTGCCAACTCATGGTTCTCAGATTCTTGACTCCCTCCAGGGCCCTTGAAGTGACTCCTGTGTCCAGGTTCGCTTGTTCCAACTGGCTTCCCCCAGGAGCAGGATTGTGTGTTCCTTGCTTGTCATTGTGTCCCCAGTGAGGTGCCTGCCTCTCTCCAGGTGCCCAGTGAATACTGGTTAAATACACAGGGAAAGCAGGCATTGTTCAGGGAGGCCATCCATGTCCATCTTCTGCCTTCCTGGCTTCACTTGTCTCTTGGTTTGAAGTTGCAGGATGCTCACTGCTCTCTACTTTGGGTCTTTGGGAGGATGTGGGGGATGGAAGGGGCTTCTAAGGCAGCTCTACAGAGTTAAGAGCAGGAGGGAAAAGGATAGCGCAGAGGGGGTCCAAGGCAGCCAGTTCATGGTGTCTTCCCTTCTTGTGTCCCTCTCACATCTGTTTTCTCAAGGCCACGTGTTCCTGACCCCTTGTCTGGGCACTGCTTCCCCTGACTCCTGGGAGTTCAAGACTGGACAGAGTATGTCTCCCTTTTCTTAAAGCCGCCCCTTCCCTTCCCCCCTCCCTCGCCCTCCCTCCAGCTTTCCTCAACTCCTGCAGCCCTCACTCACCTGAGTCGGTGTCTGGACACTGCCCTGTAGTCTGACTGGGCTGACCCCTGAGCGCAGGGTGGCCAGGAAGCGCTTGCGGTCAGTCGGGGCGCTGCCTGCAGACTTCTTCGAGGCGCTGGGTGGAGTGCCAGGCGGGGGTCGCGGCGGGGTGTCCACCCCACCCGTCAAGCTGTGACAGTCCAGCAGAGAGGCTGGGAGAGGGGCTCCGGGTGGGTGGGCACACTGGGCCCAGGGTTCCTCGCGACACGCGCAGCCCCGCTCAGCCCGCTCCCGCGGAGCAGTCGCGGCGGCGACAGGTGGGAGGAGCGGCGCGCGGGCCGGGTTGGCGGCGGAGCGGGAGCCGGCTGAGCGGGGCTCCCAACCACCTGCCACCACCCGCGGCCCCTCGCAGAGCGTGGGCAGCTGACCTCCGCCCCGCAGCCCAGGGGCGAGCCGCGTTCCCCCGAGCACCCCCCCGGCCACTTGTGCGGCGCCGTCCTTCTCAGCTTCGCTCTTCCAGGTTCCCGGTTTGCAAGCTCCTTGGCAAATACCTCCCGCCGCCCCCACAGCGCGGGGCACTTCCCAGAGCCGGGCGGGGTACAGTGCTCCCCATGCCGGTGGCGGTGGCCCTGCCTTCAGCTTCTAACTGCCTGGGGGACCCAGCGTTGTGGGGTGGGGAGAGTTTTCCAGGGATGGAGCTTGTTTTCAGCACCCCTTTGTCCGTCACCAGTCTTGCCCCCTAGAAAGGGGGTGTTGCCACGAGCCCCTATGGAGTGGCCCTTTTCTCAAAATGTAAAAGGCCAGAGGTTTCCGTGGGACCAATCCTGGTGGAATTTATGCCACTATCCCCACGACGGATGGGGAGGGTGTGCTGGGCACAGGGCCAAGCTCCAGGCTGGACTATTGCAGCAAGGCCTGGGTGGGAGTCGGAGCTGCTGACCTTCTAGACCCTGAAGTTGCTCAGCTGGGAGGGCATCTTGCCCACCTTCCCCTTCACACATCCGCTTATGCACTGCCAAGCCCCACCTGATGTGATGAGGGGCCAGACAAACTTTCTCTGAGGGCGCTGGTCCTGTGAGGGGCTGCTGCAACTCTCCTCCATTTGCAGATGAGGAGACGGGCTCAGCTCCATGGGCATGGGGGTGGTGTGGGGTGGAGTAAGGATGGAGGAGAAGACTAAGACGTCAGTCTTATTTTCATCCTCTGCTCCCTAAATTGGAATATTCCTCCTCCAAACTGGTCCATCAAAGATGATGGACCAAGAACTCTCTACCTTTAGTTCACTGCTGTGTTCTCACTGCCCAGCCCAGGACAGCAGTGGCAGGGCACAGCCATAACCCAAGTGTCAGAATAGGGCTGTTGGGAAAAACCAATTTCCTTGACTGAACAGATTGCTGGAAGAGCAAGGGCCCCCATGCTGAAACATTGGAGGGTGCTGTTGCTGGTCAGATGGGAAAGACACGTCCCCTGATACTACCTACCATACCAGCCCTGCCTGCCAGGTTGGCTCACCTCCCCATTTTTCAAAGTGTGTAAGGGAAGAGAAGGCAGGTGTCTTACATGGACCACTGCAGTGATGGGATTGGGAGACGCCAGGTGGAGACACACTTGGGGACATTCACCTGCAGGAAAGCAGGTTTCAGGAAGCCCACAGCTGAGGAAAGAGAGGAACCAAAGGCTAGACCTTGAGAACCCCCATCCTGATGCATGAGTCCTTTGAACTTTTACCAGTTTCTTCCCCAGTGGACATAACCCTTGCCTTCCCTGCCCCATCCCACCCACAACAGTATTCTACCTCTGAGCTACATCTCCAGCTCTTTTGATTTTAGTTTTGAGATAGGGTCTCCCTAAATTGCCCAGGATGCTCTTGAACTTGTGATCCTCCTACCTCATCTTCTTCAGTAGTTGGGATTATAGGAGTGCACCATGGTGCTGGAATACAGTTTTTGCCTTTTCATAAGTTCATTCCTTAATTTATCCCATCCTGATCCCCAGAACCTCTCTGTGCCTGGCCCTGCCAGGAATCAGGGATTCCATAGCTGACATTGGAGAGATCTTGGCTGAGAGGAGCTGATGGGGTGGGGTCATCCTTCCCAAAATTCAGGCTCTGCCTTCCCTAGTTGGACCATCTCCACCCTTGGGCATCTCTTTGGGGCACTGAAGTGAGAATTGAAGATTGATAGGGAGAAGGGTTTTCTCATTGATCAAGGAGGCGCCTGAGTTATTGTTAATGTTGAGGAAAAGGAGAAATGCAGGGAGCAGGCAGAAGGGAGGTGGAGAGGGGGGAAATTCAAGGAGAGAGGAAGCTGACTTCCTTCAGTCTGGGGGAACAAACTCTTCACAACTAGCCAGAATTTGGGTGAAATTCAGCCCCTTTATGGAGGTTGTCCATCTGTGGTCAGGGAGTTAAGTCCTGCACCTGTATAGAGGATGTAGCCTCAGCTACAGAGACAGAAGACCTGGATGCAAGGTCTGGCTCCACGACTTTCCCTGGGGGACTCCCCAAGTCCCTTTTCCTGTATGCCCTCAATTTTCCATCTGTGTAGTGAGATGGGTTTTTCCACTTTGGTTTGGTTTTCCAACATGCACTGGGTGTCTTCTGTGTTCCTAGCTCTCTGCTCTCACTTTCAAGGGGGAGAAACAGCCCAGAACCACTGAAAACCAGAACCTCCTCTGTGCTGGAGGGAACTTTGGTGCTATGGAAGCACAGGGACATCAGAGGAGGCTTCTAAGAATGTTCCTAGCTTGTCTCCTGCTTCCCAAACAAGAACAGAGGGCACATGAGTTCAAAGAATGCTGTTGGCCTAGAGGTGCAGGTGTGGAGGGAAGATGGTATCTTTTACCTGGCCATGTGCACCTTGGTCTCCTTGCCCAGGTTGATGGGGCCCTGACATGGCTCTCCAGGGAAGTCTTGGGAGTTGTTTTCCCATTAAATTTAAGCCACTAACATTTGTCGAACACCTACTGTGTGCCTTGTCTTGTGCTAGGGACTTGAAAAAGGGCAGTAGGCTTAATGGTTATTTCCGTGAAAAAGAAGACTTTGAGCCTTCCTGGAGTTGTCAAGAGAGGGACCAGGCTGATGGAAGAGGATGAGAAGAGCATTGGTTCTCTGAGCTGGGCCTTTAAAGGAGGGGAGTTTTCATAAGCAGAAGGAGCAAGGAGCACTCCAGAGACAAGCCCATGCTTGGAGGTAAACATAGGTCCTGTTTAGGGAGCAGTGACAGGGGAGAAAAGGGACAGCTAGAGGCTTATCTAGAGCCAGAGTATACAAAGCCCTCAATGGGTCTGTCCTTCTGTGAGTCTGTGTCCTCTAGGGACCAGGGGATATGGCCCTCTCTGACTAACTGCTGCTCAGAGCCTGTCCCTGAGGAACTGACCAGGAGCTTGATGTTCTGAAAGGAATCTGGGCCCATTCCTCCCACCTGGGCTGCGGAGGCTGAGGGGCTTAGCTGGGCTCCCAATCTGTGTTTCCTGTGGTCTCACGGTCAGCTTCTGTGGTCAGGATGAAGCAAGGACCTGAGGCATCTCTGGGTGTAGTCAGGGACCCAGTCTCCAGATTCTAGAGAAACCAGTCCGTAGATCAAAAAGGGAACAAAGCAGAGTTGCAGTCCTGAGAGAAATGTCAGGTTAAGTGGCTGAAACAAGGGAGTCCCATGGGGCCAATGTGACACCAGTGGCATCTGTTCTGAAGAGTCTGGGTCCGAGGCAAATGCTGGTCTGCCATCTCCAGAGCCTGGTTCATTTCTGGTTTGGATCTTCTAAGTTGGACCCAGGAGGGCTCTGAGATAGGGTAATAGTCAGGAAGTGGGGTGGCCCTTGCCTAGCCCTCCTCGGTCCCACGGCTTCCTGGTTTCAGCTTCTCCAGCGTCCTGGTCACAGTGGACAGGCTGCTGCGGGCTCCTAGAGGAGAGACCAGGACAGGAGCTACCTGAGAACACATCCCCATAGAGCTGTTGGGTCAGAGGAACCCATATGGACCTGGGATTGGAGTGCTTGGTGACCCCAGGGCAGAGCTGGGATAGATGGGGAGAGAGGAGAGGCCCCGTTTTGCCCAGAGAGGACAGGACCACCCATCAAGAAGACAGCAGCCTGGTGTGGGAAAGGCAGGGCTCCGGAGCACGAACCTGGCTTGAGTTCTGGCTCTATCACTTCCTGACTGTGTGATCTTGGACATGCCACTTATTCTCCCTGTGCCGCAGTGGTCCCACATATAAAATGAAGCTCACAGAATAGCTCCCTCACAAGGTTCTTGTGAGAATGAAACAAGTTATCACGCAGAGTGCTTTGACAGTGTCCAGCAGGGGACCTTCTGCTGAGTCAGTACAAGGCATCCTGGCCCTGGTGGCATAGACGGCAGGCTGGGGCCACTTTGAGATACTCCTGCCCTGGGATTTTCCAGTGTGGGAGGGACGAGAAGGGGAATTGGAAGATCTGCGGTTTCAGGTATCAGCTCTGAGAGTCAGATTCCACCGTGGAGAAGAAAGTGGGAAAACTAGGGTGTGGGACCTAGGGAGGGGGAGGGGCAGTGAGGGGTCCTCTGTGCCAGTGTCCAGGCCGGGCAGTACAGAGAAGTTCTGAGGACCAACAAGAAGAGATCAGCTCACCTTGGAACAAGAAGGGGTTGACTGGACACGTGGAAGAACACCTAACTGTTGCCTCCCTGGTGGGGGAGGCCCCTCTGTATGCCTCTCAAGGTTCTCCCTGCACTCCAAAGCCAGGCCAGAGAGGGAAGATGAAAGGTGGACTCCAGAGTTTTAGAAACTTACCTTCCTTATTTCCATTGGTACCAGATCTTCCCTCTCCTTGGTCTGATCCTGGGTTGGGGTGGATTCTCAGGCTCTCTAAAGGATAAGACCACCCCAGTTCCTCTGGTTAGTTAGACATTCCCATATCAAATCAAGCTCAGGTTCCGAAGGAAAGTTCTTCCTGCTGTCTAATGTCCAGCCCTGCTGCTGTCTGCTCCACTGCATTCCTTTAGTCTCTCACATAATCTGGATTGATTTGAGTAAGGGTGGAAGAAGTGAGTTTTTAAAGGAGGTGTCAGATGTTTTAAGGAGATGGGGGTCCTAGGGAGAATCAGAGCTACGTAAGGCCCCACAGGGCTGAGGAGTTGGGTGTCTGTATGTGAGTTGCTGAGACATGGTGGGGGCTATTCAGAGATCCTGAGGGGAGACAGAGGGTTCTTGGCGGGTGTGAGGGGGTTTTCTAGAGATCTTGGAGGCTTTGGGGGAATAGAAAAACCTCTCAAGGAAGATGGACTCCCTAGGTTCAGACACCTTTGCGACAGGCAGCAGGCTGTAGCCTGCTACACTGTAGTCATGGCGACGCCTGTACCACACACACACAGCAACTCCAACACAGTCAGGAGCAGTCTTACACATGGGCTTGCTCCACCTCCCCATCGGTCACAGACTTATACACAAAGGGTCTCCACAGTCCTTGGCAGAGCCGTCTGCAGGGAAGGGGGAGGGGACTCACCTATTGTGGGCAGGATGCGCTCCAGGTTGAACCGAGCCTTCAGGAAGGGGTAGGCAAAGATGAGGAGCCCTGAGAAGAGAGAGACACAGAGTGTTCTGGGATGGGGAGGGGGCCTGGCTAGTGTGAGGTGCGGGAAGATGTGGGTGGGCTGTGAGCCTGGGGGCTGGTTTTTGAGGGTGATTGGGTGAGTGCAGGAGAAGCCCAAGTGCACAGTGTTGGGACTATGAGTGTGTAAATGGAGCTGGTGAGAGTACGCGTGGGGCTGCTCCCCAACACCTTGCCTGGGTTGAAGGGACCGTGCCTATGTGAAGGGGCCATAGGCTGTGAAAGCCACAGACTCTGGCTCTACTGTGCCCAGGTGAAGAGTCGTTCCCTTCCTCTCTTCTCAGCTGGCTGGAACTGGGCCCACTGACACCAACACCACCAACTCTCCTCACCCTTCCCTCGGGCCCCCAGGAGTGACCATGGGGGCTCCTCTGCATGCTCCTCCCCACCCAGACCTGGAGGGGTAGTAGCAGAGCAGATTCTGCCCTGCCCACTCCCACTCCCTCCCCTGACCAAGGGCTATGCTTGAATTTGCAGCTATGAATGCCCAGAGCCCCCAGCCTAGGGTTCCAGCTTCTGTTTTTAGCTCAAGGTAGTGAGAGGATGAGAGATGGTACTCAACATCACCGTGGAGGTGTCAATGGGCCTGCCCCAGACAGACAGGTGGACAGACCTGCTGCTGCTGAGACAAACAGGGAAAGAAAAGGAAACTATTCAACTGAGCCGCGCTGTTTTGCCAGCCCCCATCAATCTACCACAAACAGGCTGACAAATCCTACCACAAACTCAAGAAGCGGGGCCCAGAGCTGCAGAGCCGGGGACAACCAGAAGGGATTGTGACAGTCAACCTCTTCATTCCAGTCTCCTCACTGCCAACAGGTCGAGCCCTGCCTCGACCCCCTTCTCCTCCCTGCACCCCTAAGGGCTGCCTTGCTCACACCTCTAGCTCTCATACCCCCCCCCCACCAACTCCCCCTGACCCAGCTCTCCCCGCCATTTCTCAATCACCTGACCAGACTCCTGGTCCCCACAGAATTTCTTTCCCCGACCCCTGTCTAGCTCCTGCTCACCCAGCCCAGCAGCACCGAGAAAGATGCCGCCCACAGCAGCCGCAGCCTTGGACACCGAGACTCCGATGATGATGCTGCCAGCCACCAGACCCAGGGCCACACAGGCCAGCTGCAGGCAGTGGAAGTCTCTGCTGCTGATGGGGATGTCCATGTAGGCCTACCCAGGGCACTGTCTCCGGCTGGTCCTGCAGGGTCTCTGTCCTCTTGGCTGTCCACTGGTTGGAGCTCTACCTACAGTGTGGGAGTTTGCAAGGCAGTAAGGGTCTGGGCTGGTAATGCTTAGATTTACCTGCAACCCTATTCTACAGCTTGTCAGAGGCCCCCTAGCTACACGTTGACTTATGAACCCCAACTTACTCTTACTCCACTGAAGGTCTTATGACCTGAAGGCCACTCTTGGGACTTCTGCCTTGCCACGTTTCTCCATTAACTGCCAGAGTTCTAGTGAGTTGGGCCTGACCCATGGGATCCTCCTCTGCCGGCCTCCATCTGAGTCCTGGGAGAGCTCAGTCCAAGCTCTCCCCATCAGGACATCCTCCCCTGGCTCCCTGGCGCCTGCTCAATTGCCACCCAACCTGGGCCTATTAAAGTTTAAAGCAATGAGAGACAGGGGTGGGGGCTGGTCCTGGGGACATGGGTTCCTCTGAGGTGTAGGCAGCTGGGAGGTGCTGGGTTATTCATGAGGTTGCAATGTGAGCTGCTGCCTGGGTCCCAGAGGCCCAGTGGGCAGTCAGCCCAGATTCCACTGTTGGTTCCAGAGCAGGAAGAATGAGCCGGTGGCTTCACATGGGATTCAGAAGCCAGGGCTGTGAGGAGACTCCCTGAACACATGCTCAAGTCTCATTCTGTTGTCCTCTGCCCTTTGTCCTGGAGGGGCACCTGAGGCCTCTGCTTGGAGGCCCAGAGACAGAGACATGGAGGGAGAGTTGGACGAGGCTCAAGAGGCAGGAACTGTGAGTGGGATGGAAGAAGAGAGGGGGAGGTGGCCCACCAAGTCCACTCTCTGCCCTCCCTACACCCTTCCCTTCCCCCCTCTTGTCAACCTCTAGACTCCTTGGCAGGGTTGAGGGGTCCCAGGTTGAGGATTGGCCTTAAAGAATCCCCTTTTCCTTGGGTACTCTTGGTACCCACCCCCTTTTTAGTTGCCAGTGGGATGAGAGAGTGAGCCTGTCATCTGTCCCCAGCTTACTAGCTGGGAGCTGACAGGGAAGAGCAATGGCTGGTATCTGTGCAATGGTGGGTACGGGGTAGGGTGGGAAGATGAATTGAGGGTGGGGGTTGGATGTCAGTGGGACTGGAGCAGAGGCTGGGGCCTGGCTGGTGTCCTCAGCTCCTCCACCCTGCCTGATTGGCTGCCTTGCAGGGTCTGCCCACCTGAGGATGAGCATAGTAACCAGCCCAATCCAGCTGGGCCCTAGTTCCAGCCTCCCTTGTTCATTGCATTCTCTGTCGCCCTTTATGGCTCAGGTACTCTGCCGTCCCAGAATAGGGCCTGGCTAAGGTCCCCACATGGGCAGTTCCCAGGGTCCCACCCATTCTGCTTAGGGTCCTGTCACTAGCCCCATTGGCCTCTTTTTGTGCCTCTCTCCCTATCATGTCTGCAGTCTGGGTCATGCTCAAGATCTGCCTCCACAGCTGCCCACTCCCCACTGTCCCGGCTCCTGTCCTGCCCACTTGCTCTGAGTGTCTGCCTGGTCTTTGCTGTTTGGAAAACCCTTCCTTGTCCAGTGGGACCTGCACAGTTGACTCCACTTTGTGCAACCTTGCTGACCAAACCTGGGTCAGTGGGCTGCCCACCACTGTCCCAGAGCCCCACCTCAGGGGCCTGCTCTCTGTCTTTGTTCTGTCTACAGGGTGAACCACCAAGGGCAAGCTCAGAAGTGAGTTCCACAGAACGCCATGACTAGAGGGACCTGGGTTTGGCATCTGGACATAGGACAGAGTTCAGGGGGAGGGCTTGTGCCTGTGTGACCACCTTGGGTCTACCAAGAGAAGGACTCTGAGAACCAGGTAACCTCCGACTCTACCAACCATCTTTCTTTGGAGTGGAGTGGGTGACACTGCCAGGCAGCTGGAGAGTGACTGCAAATCATGGATTCGCCATCAGGCTCCCATAAAGAGGAAGCCCCTTGAGCCAGGTGTTCACCAGCCATGGCTGCCCTGCTAACATCCCCTGTGCCTCCTTCCAGGTCGAGGTCTGATTATTCCTCGAATTAGGCAACAAATGACAGCTCATGTCTCTGTCACATGTATTGATCCCCCACTGACTAGTTTCAGGAGGAGCTGCCAAAATAAGTGTCCGTGAAAAATGTTCCCAAGAGGCCATGCTCTGGGAATCTGAGCTCCCTCCACAGTGCCCCAGCCCCCACTCCCCTTAAGTATTTGCACCACTCTGGGCCAGGCAGGGCCTGCACTGGCCCCTCTGTGGTCTAAGGACGGAGGCTCTCCCACATCAGCAAGACAGAGCCTCTGAGGCCATGCTTTCTGCCGTACACTGGGTGTCTAGGCCAGCCACTGCACCTCATCCACTGAAAGATGGCCTCATCTGGGGGTGCAGAGGCTAGGGGCAGGCATTGCAAGTTTCAGATGCCACGACAACGACATTCTGACCTTCAAACACTGAAAACCAAATTCAAATTTAAGAGTTCTTCTTTGACATTTTAAATCCCTCATGGCCCAGAAAGAGTCAAGGGAGGAGGAAAGACATCGGAAGCCATTTTCAGTTATAGGTTCACCAAACCACAAAGCCATCCCAGATCCATTATGGAATGAATTGGGAAACTGAGACATGATGAGGCAGAAGAGTTGCCCCAGAGTCCTCAATAGAACCTGTGTGCCCAGATTCTTGCTTAGTGGAGAAGTCCTCTAGCCTGTCTGTCTCCTAAATTTCCATATTGTTTTACTTGAGGTAGGAGGAATTAGCAAACCCATTGTATTAGTCCATTTTCTGTTGCTGTAACAAAATACCCAAGGCTGGCAAATTTATAAAGAAAAGTGGTTCATTTAGCTCCCAGTTCTGGAGGCTGGAAGTCCAAGATTGGGTAGCCCTATCCATGGTGAGGACCTCATGTAGGATGGCATCACAGTGGTAGGAACATGTGTGAGAGTGTGAGATCACCTGGTGAGACAAGAAACCAGAGAGCAGGGAGAGGCCAGGGTTACTCTTTCATAACAACCCACTCTCACAAGACCAGCATCAGTCCCTTCTGAGGGCTGCACCCCCCGTGACCTAATTACTATGCACAGGCTCCATTTCTGAAAGGTTCTGTCACCTCCTAACACTGACACATGGAGGACCAAGCTTCTGACTCATGAACCTTTGGAGAACATACTCAAACAATATCCAAACCGTAGCACCCTCCATCAGAGGGAGACACTGTGGTTAAACGAACCAGTCAGGAAATGCACTCTCCCCTCGACAAGAGAACATCATTAAGGTTCCCGAACCAGTTACCAATGTAGAGGGGGAGGCTTGCCAATTCTTTCCTCAATACGGGTTATGTAATCCCTGAAAAAGGAAATTGTCCCTGGGCATTGTGCTTGTAGTATTAGGTAAATGAGTTCAAGGGGCAATGCTGAGATGGGCGAGAGCCCAGGGACACCCAGAACCCAAGCCCCATGAGTTCCCTCTGCCTCCCCGGCATCAGAGCTCTCCTGGAAGGAGCCTGTGTTCTCCTGGAGCCGCGGAACTCAGGGTGAGGTTAGGCCATGGGCACGCTGCTGGGTTCCACCTCAAGATCTCTGTGTCTTCTGGCGAGGCAGGGGCTGGAGGGGGTCTGCCTGTGCTCTTCCTTTCTCAGAAGCGCCAAGACCCAGTGTGGGGTGAGGGTGGGGAGGAAGAGCGGGCAAACAGGCCCCAGCTTGGTTTGGTTCTGTTTGTTTTCCTTGAGGGCTGAGAACCCTGGAAAAGAGTGTGATTAATTCACTGGTCCCTGGGGGGACAGGCAGCTTTCCTGGACCATTCAGAAGCTGAAGTATGGGAAGCGGATTCCAAGGCAACTGCTACCATGGCAACAAGCGTGTCAGCCCTGGGGGGACCTTACTCTCAGCCCCCTCCAGACCTGCAGCAGCTGGAGCACTTGGCGTGGGACCAAGGCACTGCTGATTATGGAGCTGGGTTTGGTAAGGGACAGTGGGCCAGGAGGCAGGAGGGGCCCCCAGAGCTCAGGCAGGTGACACATGGCGGCACAGAAGCTCTTTCTTGTGGTCGGATGCCCTCAGAAAGAAGTTCTCAAGGTCCAGTTGAATCAGGACTGGGGCCGGAGTCAAGGCCCGCTTACGGGATTTGTGGAAAGAGGCCTGAGGTCTAAGACACTGCAAAAGGCCGGGACCAGATCTCTTCTCCAAGGCCCAGCCCAGAGTGAGCCCTAGAGTAGGGAAATTGGTTTCCGCCATAGCATGCCCCATGCCTGGGAGGGGCTCTGCTACTCCAGAGCCTCCCTTACTACAGCAGCCGTATCTGCCTCAGTGCAGCAGAGCAGGACTTCCCAGGCTCCTTTGGCATTCTATTAGTTTTTCCCTGGCCCAATAGCTGCCCCTT